AAGTAGGGGATCAGGGTCAACACACATTCTCTGTAAGGGATAAGATTTGGATGTTTCGTATCCCACTCTCCTTTAATCTGATTGATCACCAGAGCGGAATCTCCGAAGACACTCAGAAATTTGATCCTTAGGTCGATTGCAGCTTGAAGACCCATGATGCACGCCTCATACTCCGCCATGTTGTTGGTACAGTTGAAACATAGTCGGGCAGTGAGTGGAGTATGAGTACCTTGAGGTGATATGATTATGGCGCCGATACCGTTTCCCAAAGCATTGGAGGCTCCGTCAAAGTGCATAGACCATCAGGATCCTGGTTCAGGTCCTTCATCCGGTCCAGGTACTTCACAGTCTGTCACTATCATGATGCTTTCATCCGGAAACTCAAAGTTCATTGATTGGTAGTCATCTACGGCCTGATGTGCCAAGTGGTCTGCCAATACACTTCCCTTGATGGCTTTCTGGGTTGTATACTGAATGTCGTATTCTGTCAAGATCATTTGCCATCTTGCAATTCTCCCAGACAGAGCAGGCTTTTCGAATATGTACTTTATAGGATCCATCTTTGAGATCAACAAGGTAGTATGAGTCAGCGTATACTGTCTCAGCCGGCGAGCAGCCCATACCAAAGCGCAACAAGTTTTCTCAAGCAGCGAGTATCGGGTCTCACAGTCGGTAAACTTTTTGCTAAGGTAATAAATGGCATGCTCTTTTCGGCCAGACTCGTCATGCTGCCCCAGCACACACCCCATTGAGTTGTCAAGCACTGTTAGATATAGTATCAGAGGTCTCCCTTCAACCGGTGGCATAAGGATAGGTGGTTCTTGGAGATACTCTTTGATTTTGTCAAAAGCAGCCTGACATTCATCATTCCAAAGTACTACCTGATCTTTCTTCAGCAGCTTGAAGATTGGCTCACAGGTAGCGGTTAGATGCGAGATGAACCGAGCAATGTAATTCAGGCGTCCTAAAAAGCCTCTGACTTCCTTTTCTGTCCTGGGAACTGGCATCTCTTGAATAGCTTTGACCTTAGCAGGGTCCACTTGAATACCTTTATCACTGACCACGAAGCCTAGCAACTTCCCAGATCTTACCCCGAAGGTGCACTTGTTCGGATTCAACCTCAGCTTGTACAGTTTCAGACGGTCAAACAATTTCTGCAGATGATCTAGGTGCTCTTCTTCTGTCTGGGACCTTGCGATCATGTCGTCCACATACACTTCTATCTCATGATGGATTATGTCATGAAATAAAGCAACCATGGCGCGTTGGTAGGTTGCCCCAGCGTTCTTTAACCCGAATGGCATGACCTTGTAACAGAAGGTGCCCCACTGAGTAACAAATGTAGTCTTTTCCATATCTTCAGGTGCCATCTTGATCTGATTGTAACCTGAAAAGCCATCCATGAAAGAGAATACCTTGTGCTGAGCTGTATTATCAACAAGGACATCAATGTGAGGTAAAGGGAAGTCATCTTTGGGGCTGGCCCTGTTCAGATCCCTGTAGTCGACACACATTCTGACCTTACCGTCCTTCTTAGGTACCGGCACCACATTAGCAACCCACTGAGGGTAAGAGGTCACTGCAAGAAACCCGGCATCAAACTGCTTCATAACCTCGGCCTTAATCTTCTCAGACATCTCTGGACGCATCCGACGGACCTTTTGCTTAACTGGAGGGCAGTCTTCCTTAGTTGGCAAGTGATGGACCACAATATCGGTATCCAACCCGGGCATGTCTTCGTAGGACCAGGCAAAGATCTCCATATAATCATGCAACATTTAAGTCAACCGTTGCTTCACGCTGAGCTCTAGGTTGGCACCAATCTTTACCTCTTTCTTGTCTTCCTCAGTACCCAAGTTTATTGTTTCCACTGGCTCTTCATAGGGTTGAATTGCCCTCTCTTCCTGAAGCAACAGTCTTGCAAGATCGCCAGGCACTTCGCAATCATCTTCACCTTCGTCTTCGGCTAAGTTGATCGGATTTTCGAAGTCATAATTGGCAGTAGCAGAGTTGTTATCAGTGAGATCCAGAGTGGATTGAAACCTGTATGAGTGAGTGTGTGTGTAAATACAGCTGTTTTGAAATATATGTAAAGGAAGAAAAGACAGAAAAGGAGCATAAGATTTGTAATGCGAGAAAACGTCCAAGATTTTCATTCATGATATATGAAATGACAATTTATATGCCCTCACAAATGAAACCACAGTGCCTCGGGTAAGACACCGGGCCAAAGAGTTTATTATTGTTTATTACAAAATAACGAAACAAAGAAATTTATTACTTAGTAACAAGAGAAACAGATAAGTTGTCCTTCGCACTCCAATTGCTAGGTCCACTGTCGGCTGCAGGGTAAATCCAGCTATCAAACTCAGCTTCATCCACCTCATCTTCGTCCCCAATAGCATTCACTCCATGAGCAGGTAGGGGAGCTGTCACTACATTAGGCTTCTCAGATGCCTCAAACTGTACCTCCTTGGCGTCAATAAGATCTTGCAGTTTGCTCCTTAATGCCCAACAGTCATCAGTAGAATGCCCCGAGCTATCAGAATGGTAAGCACAACGAGCGTTCGGGTTGTACTTAGGAGATGCGGTATTTGGGAACTTCGGCGCCTCTCGGACAGTCACTAAGTTGGTTGATAGCAACTGTGGCAGGATCTGCGATAGGGTCATGCTTAACCGGGTGAACTCTCTCCGGGGTCTTTCAGCCCTTTGAGGATTAGTTGGCCGAGGAGCGGCAGCAGGCTTAGCAATCATTACCGCACTGACAGATCGGCGGCGCTCAGGTCTCTCCGATCTCTTGGAACCATACACGGCACTAGCTTCCTTCTTGAAGGGTTTCTTCTCGGAACTAGACGATGCACCCTTCGGGATCTTACCAGACTTTAACCCAGCTTCAATTCTCTCTCCAGTCAAAATCAAATCAGTGAACCCTGCAGACGAATTCCCAATGAGATGGTTGAAAAATGGCCCAGACAGGGTCCCTAAGAACATGTCTACCAACTCCCGATCGGTCAACAGTGGTTGCACCCTGCCAGCCAGGTCTCTCCACTTCTGAGCGTACTCCTTAAAACCTTCGCTTGAACCTAACGACATACCCTGGAGTTGGGTACGTGTAGGGGCAAGGTCGGCATTATATTGATACTGCTTATAGAAAGCAGTAGCCAACTCCTCCCAGTTACGAACCTTGGTCCCATCTAGCTGATAGAACCATTCGAGATGAGTCCCTGAAAGACTCTCCTGGAAGAAGTGGATCCACAAATTCTTATCCGCAGAGTATGGTTGAATTTTTCGAACATAGGACCTGAGATGTAGCTTGGGACAAGACGCCCCGTCATACTTAGAAAAGGATGGTGCTTTGAACTTATGAGGGATAATCACACCAGTTGACAAACCCAGATCTCCGAAATCCAGCCCAGGTACCTGTTGAATCTCCATAGCCTTCAACCTATCCTCCAGTTGCTTGTATCTGTCTTCTGCAGGAGGGTACTGCTCTTCATCAAAATCAGTCTCGTTGTCGGAGACTACCGGACTAGGAACCCTTGCTTCTGCCTGAGGATTACTCTTGCCAACAGAAGAACCAGCCTCTTCCTGCTGCAGAGCATTGCCAAACCTTCGGCCCGAGTTGAACAGAACAGTTCTTCTCTTCTTCTTCTTCTCCTTCTTCAGGAGCATAGTCTTTAGCTCTTCTTGGCCTTGAGCCAAACCCTTGATTAATTCCTGAAACTGCGCATTCTGCGCCTGAAGAGCCTTGATGGATGTCTCAGTTGATGACGAGTCGGGATTCATGATGCTGAAATAAACAGCGAAGAACTGTAAGCAACCTGAAAAGAGAAAAAACCTGTTATGCACATGATGAATGAGGTGTGTTTATGCAATGCATTCAAGGGTTCGACAATTCAACTTTGTTGTAGCCAAAAAAAGAGCACACGTTATCATTAAGGAAATAAGTTGTTTAGTACATCAAAGCCTCACGGGCAAAATACAAAAATCAAATCAATCACAGAATACACTGCGCATCCTCTTTGGAGCTATGTAAGTGTTGAGATTCCTCTCCTCATGCAATAGGCGGGTGAGCTCCAAGACCTTCTTTTCACTGGCATGTAGACTGGTCTCAAGAGAATTCCTTTCTTCCTTAAGCTGGATCCAGCTCTTCTGCATCTCTTCCCAGGATGTGGGCATATCAGGGTGCTGAATAGTGTAGGACACTTCTCCTTCCAAGACTGGCTCTTTGATTACTGGGAGCATATGAGGATATGGCATCACTAACGTCTGGGAGCGGGCTCGTACCCACTTAAGATAAGGCACTACAAGAAAAATGATAGATTGGGACGGTTATTTTGGCTGATTACGACGGTTAAAACCGTCGCAATTTACAATCTACGACGGTAGAAGTACCGTCGCAGAATCGTGCGTCCCCAGCCTATTTCGCGACGGTTGCAAAAACTGTCACGCACAACAGATAGCGACGGTTATATACCGTCGTGAATTTGACTTTATTTTTTGTTTTTGTTGTTGTTTGCGACGGTTATTCTACCGCCGTAGGTTAGAAATTGCGACGGTTTTAACCGTCGTAATCTGATTTATAAATTTCAAATAATATTTTTATTTAAATTATTATTTAGTAAAATAATTTTAAATATAATATTATTTTACTATAATATTTTACTATTATATTTAAATTATTATTTACTTTAATATTTTTTTATTTATAGTATTTTTATTTTATTTTCTATCACTTTTCAACATAATAAAGTTAATTACAATAAAAACATTTAATATCAAATAATCATCAATAATATCAAAAAAATGTGATCAAAAGTAAAAAGAAGTGCAAATTTTACCAATAAACAAGAAAAATTCAAATATCATCAAAGGCCAAATTTCATTTTAATATTTACATTGGTTTGCTACAACTTGAGAGAATTACAAAAAATGTTACAATATTCTACAAAATTCATGAAAGTCCTTAGTGTTAAGTGATTTTGTGTTAAACTTCCATGCTAGGACCATGATCCTTCCTTGACTACCATTTGGTCCAAGCTACGCATACCTACACAAAATTCATGAAAGGTAACAAGATTGACACCATTTTCCCTGAGATATGATAAGAACGCGTCGAGTGTTTCGTCTGTTGGCCGATAGTGTCCACTATATGCAGAGATGGACTGAAAAATCAAACCAACAAGAATCAACCAATTTTGTCATCGCACATAAATTGAAATATATATTACACCGTGCATAGTCACACTGTAAGAAAAACTCGATCATGTAATGTTAATTATACCTTCAGAACCCCATCCTCGGCTTCGAGCCGTCCAGCAGCCAAGGTAGCTCCACCAGCCAAAAAAGAAGAATGATGGAACAACCCCTTCTTTTTCTGCGAGGTTATAACAATGTATCAATAGGACTCAATTGAACGAGAAAGAATAACATAGCTTAAACTAATTGTTACCTTTCCAGCATAAAGTTTCTTCTCGGTGCTCATTACAAATATCCACTTAGCATCTTCAGAATCCTTTTTGGTATGAAGAAAATCTCCAGATTGGTTGTTGATAATTTTTCCATCGCAGACAACATATTCATAGTTCTCCCTCTCTTACTGTAAAAAACAATTAACCAGTAAGAAAAGCAGGAAAATACCATAACTTTTGAAATTATGCAGAATTTGAATATAAGTCAATAGTATAAAACAATTATGCAGAAAAGCAGAAGTTGCATGCACATACAGGTCCAAGATACTTTATGCATTGTTTTCGAAGCTTCGATCGGGAACACCGTTCAAGATCAAGAGTTTTCCCATTTCCCAAATCCAACCTGTAGAATAGATTGAGAGAAAAATTAAGTTAGAAAACAGAACACTGTATCCTCTAAACTTGCACTTTTTTTACTCATAGTCCTATTTGCACTTTAACCAGAATCAATTTTACAAAATCAAATCGTTCAAAATCAATTATTTTCCCATAATCAAACACACGTTAATATCAATAGTAGATTATCCAAGTCACACCCTATTCAACCTTTAGATTAAAAACGTTCATGAATTTTGTGTTAAATTCATGAAAAATTCTTATGTAGCTTTAAGAATCTTCTATGAGTCTTCAACGATTTCACTTCTAAAACTTCAACAATTCGTTCTACACACATCCGAAACTCTTCTCAGAACTTCATCTCTCCAAAACTCACTCTCTAACTGCTTCTCTACACAAAATCATTTTCATCAACAAGTCCGAATCGGCTTCTCAACAACGATAATCAACATCACGCATACTTCATCAAAACTGCATCATCATCATGTTCAATGATTTTCAAATCACACAGGACAATAATTCCATATAACACTGTAGTAAAAACAAGAAGCAAATTCGTGGAAGAGATTTGAAGAAGATGAATTACCAATGAAATGTGAATTCAAAGTGAGAAAGTGAGGTATTCGTACCTAAGTTTCTGAAGAGATTGCTATCTGATTTTCTCACCATCTTCATCAATTTGAAGAGATTGCTACGTCACACACAAAAAGAAGGATGGGAAGTGGGTTGACCGTTGTGCCGAGAAGACACATGTAAGATCTAATCTCGACACGAGCTCTTGTGTATTACATTCAGGATATTACTGCTGCAATATATAGAGCCTTTCCTTTCTCCTTCCTCAAGTTCACCTGCTGTATATCCCATCTTCTATCTATAGAATCAATAACACAAGTAGGCTGAGTAGGTTGATGTGTTTTATGAGCCTGGTTAGGCTTCTTATGGCCAGGTCTAGATTATATAAATGGATGCAGTGCTTACTGATCCTGCTGCACTTTTAATTCATACTCAAAGGAAGTTTGAGAAACTTACTATCCATGATCATAAATTGAAGAATTATTCATCTTTACTCACGCCATGTTGCGTAATCTACTATTTATCATTAAAGCTATTTTGTTTATTAATTTATATTCTAATGAAATTGGAACCAAATCAAGTAAGTGTTTCACTCTTTCTGTTTTAGTAATGCATCTACTACCAACTCTAGTGTATTTCTAAACTTCATGGTTAATCTATCATGCAAGGAATATAAGATTGGTTATCATACATTTGATGAGAGGGGATTACTTATCATGAATTTCCTTAAAGGAGTAGGTTGTGCAGCAAAAGTTGCATTCAAATTCCTTCTAATCTGATAAACTTTTATTGCTTATGGGGACAATAACTTTCCAGAGACAACTTCTGCATCTAATTGTTAAATAAATGCCTTTTCTGCTATGTTTCACGATTAAAGACTCTAAGATTTTCTGCATATGATTTTCTTCTATGTTTCTGAGTTTCTGCTATGTTTCTGATTTTCTGCCTACTTATTCAACGATTATTGTGTTTTACAGGAAGATTACATGAATCTCTTGACATAAGCCACACAAACCAATAATAATATGGGTGGGTCGGGAAAGTTACAACTCTGGAAAGAAGCCGTCAGAGGTAAGTCGCGGGGCAGGTGTTACGGAATTGCAAAAATGGTGGTCAACGTAACTTATAGAGTGTCGTTCTTGATACAAATGATAGTTACAAATCCTAGCAGATCAGAAGTAGAGAGCCAAGCTATTGAGGTTGCTAGAGCCGAGGCAGCATTAGCTAATGCGCGTGCCGATGAAGCTAAGACAGGCTGCATTAGCTAATACGTGTGCAAACGAAGCTAAGGCGAAGACGACATAATTGGCAAAGAAATTTTAAGTATTTAAGACACAAATGTTTGATATGTGGTAGTCGGTTCATGTGGCATCTTCTACTGCTCCTAGTACTAATCACGACTACGAGTCTGATGAGTTGTTGGCAGATGCAGATGTTAGTAATGAAAGGGAGTGAAGCAAGTCCTGAAAAGTTCCAGCATACTAGTATAATCTCTTATCCCTAACTCTCTCATTTACATGTTAATTTCTTCAAGTTTCGGGACAATTTCTTTTACTGTTTTATTAAGTTAAATAAAATATAAAACTGGAAACCCAGACTTATAATTGAGTTTACAATTCTAGGTAAGAAAATTGAGTTTAATTGCTTACCTGAACACAAATGGTAATTAAAAGCAGAACTTACCTGATATCCATGTGAAAGATGCCCACCATGGGGAAGATCGAGTGCCATAATTCTCTCATGAGGTTTCAATAAAGCAGTGTAAACTTGGAAATTGGAAGGAGATCCAGATAGCGACTGTACATTGACTGTCAAAAGCAGATTATGTAATAATGTAAATAAGATTCTCTAAAAAAAACATATGATCAAAATTTGTTCACCTAAATTGCAGAGGTTAGTATTCCTTCTACTCTTATCAGCAAATCCTTAAGATAATCAAGAAACAAAACAGGATACAAAGCATTGTCAATCACGCCACTAAGCCACTTCATCCAACCCTGCTGAAACCCCCAAAATGGACCCAAAGCAGTCGAAACCCAAACAACATAACCACTATTTTCAGGGAACATGGTACCCATTTCAGCCGTTATCAAAGCTTCCGGAACACTCCATATAAACGGAAAAACCAAAAATCCAAGTAAAGCTAACAAAGGACCAGCTGCTTTCACAGTATCCTCAACACCAAAAGGCCCTCCTGATACCTCATAGAAGATGAGAAACACAAGAGGTAAAACTGAAACTTTCCTCATATGATTTGTTACCTTCGGGGAAGCCGATTCACCTACTGCGACATACTGGCTCCCACTTCCGGGGTTCTCCCCCATTGTATTAAAATCTTGTTGTCTATTATATGATGTAGTCCTCAATTTCTGCAACCAGCTAAAACATACATTTTTTTTCTTTTATAAGAATCCTATAACAATCATAACTATAACATCAAATCAAAGTGAATACATACACTATATTCATACTATTCATACATAACACAACCAAGTGAATTTGAGACTCACTTTATTGAATCAAAATATAAAATATGGCAAACTAGATTTGTCAATTCTACCGACAAAAAAAAACATTAATTAATAAAAACCACATGATAAAAACAGATCTCGGACACCGATTTCAAACAAAAAACCTGAAAATTAAATAGCAAACCCTTCGGCGCAAGTAAGGAAGTTATTTATGGTTAAAATTGAGGGTTTTAAAAAGTCAAGCAAAATTGGGACCCCAATTAAGAAGAGAGGATGAACGAACCATGTGAGAATTGTAAGCGTGTCAGGTTATAGGAGATAGTGACTTCTGCAACGGAATCTGATGTTGAACGAAAGCTACCATAGCTAAACACTCTCACCCCAGAAACTGACTGAAGAGAAAAAAGCGGTGGAGCCAAAAGGACGTGTCGTCTGGGACCGATTATGTGTACGGGACTTAAATTTGGTAAGGTTACGATGTTTAAGCCAAATATGGGATTGTTGGATTGAGATTATATTTATAAGTTTTTTTTTTAAAGATTTTAAAATATTTTATAAAATCCCTGATTGTGTAAATTAATTTTATACTATCGATCAATCACAATTTTGTATCAGAATAAATTATATTTTAATTTTAAACTTTTTTAAAGGTTTTGGGTGCGACGGTTGTTTTACCGTCGTGAAATGAATTTTAGGACGGATAATTTTACCGTCGTGAAAGGTTTAAGGGTGCGACGGGTGCTTTACCGTCGTGATATGCCTTTTAGGACGGTTAATTTTACCGTCGTGACTAGTTGTTGGTGAAAAATCAATGTTAAAAGTGTTAAATGGGGGCCGACGGTTGTTTTACCGTCGTAATAATAATATTATGATGGTTAAATATACCGTCGCAAAATAAATATTAGGGACGGTTGGTGTCAACTGTCGTAAACACTGTCTCTATATGTCAATTACGACAGTTATCACATAACTGTCGCAATTTTTGTGTCGTTAAACACTAATTTTCTTGTAGTGAGGTTCCAACGGGATGGAGTTCCTGTGCCCCAGTGTCTTGCTGTCTATCCTACTGGGCATCCTCCAAGCTCTGATAAACCTCTGGCGAAGTCCTTGAGTATCGTTGTCGAAGTCAAAAACTATGTCAGGAATTAACATGTCATGAGGACCATCCCTCCGAGCATAACCAAACTGCCTCCAAGCCAGGCATGGGCTGTAAGTAATACCTCCTCTGATTCCAAGTAAAGGAACATTAGGGTACTCCCCGCAACGATCAATGATAGTGACATCTTCTCTGGACCTAGGGCACCAATGTATATCTGCATGTGTAAGAGTCATCAACCGTTGTGACCATCTCAAACCCCGCTCATTCTTCAAGACTGATTGTGGAAGGTGCGAAATAAACCACCTTCCCAGGAGAGGAGTGCAACACATAAGGACACCTCTTTTTCTCATGGTTCGAGTGTAACATGAGTGAAGGATGTCCCCCAGCAACGTAGGTATAGGATTCCTGGACATAAAGATCTGGACAGCACTGATATCAACAAGCTGATCTGGATTAAGGAACAACACCAAACCATAGACAAGGAGGGCCACAACTTCTTCAAAAGCTTGCAAGTCAAGGGAGTTCCAACATTCAT